GACTTCATATAAGTTAAAAAACTTACTAAATATATAAAAAAATAATAATTCCTCTCATACATATTAGACTTTGAAGGTGTCAACATGTGGAAAAGGGTTAAGTGCAGTTAAACTTTCTACAAAGCTCCTAAGTTTTTAATAAATTAATAAATGAATAAAATTAAGCTATTGTGAGATAAAGAAAAAAGTGATAAAAGACAGAAAACAGATTTAAAGATATGAAATTGTTTTTCAAATTCCCTGCAAGAGATGTCCATGATCATCTGCTATATACCTTTCACAATAGCCCAAGAAAAGGGAATGTAAGATGGTATTAACTACTTCAGGTATTTAAAAACAAGATAGGAAAATAAAAGATAAGGATGGGAAGCTCACTAATACTAAGTGACTGGAAGACAAAATCATAGATACCATTCAGCAGGAACACATGCAAAATAATGATGACATTGCTGGAGATTACAGCCAACTATACATACACTGTAGCGTAGTAAATGGCATCTTAGCCCATTGGAAAGATCTTGGAGTCATTGTAAATAGCTCTATGAAAATGTTGGCTTTAGTGTAGCAACAGTCAAAAAGTGAAAGAATGTTAAAAATTATTAGGAAGTGGAAAAAAAAAAAAAAAACAACTGTATCAATTTGCAGTATGCCATAACCATCAACAGTTTGGTTTGTTCCCTTTGAATTCAAAGCAAAACAGTAGAATCATAGCAGATAGAGAAGGAAAACAAAATGGAATAGCCTTTCAGACAGAAGTTTTCAAGTAAGAGGAGTAGAACTCTTCAGCTGAAAAGGATGTGACCACTGAGGAAATTATTATTTCTCATCACTAGGAAAAAAAGGCATCAAATAAAAGAACAGGTTTAAAGCAAAAGAAGTACTTTTTCACACAATGCATAATTAAATTTATAGAGCTCTGCAACTTGATGCCATGGATTCAAAGAATATAAATGGGCTCAAAAGCATTCAGATTCATAAAAGAAAATTCCATCTAAGAGTACTGGATACAAGAAATGCAACAGCAGATTTAGGAAGTCTCTAAGCTGCTGTTGCTGGAAGGTGGGGGATTTCATTGTAGAACTGTCTCTATTCACATCCTCTATTCTTATCCTCTTACCCTAGGAATCCATTACTGCTCATCACCAGAGCCATAGTACTTGGGAAGATGAACTTTCCATCCGGCAAGTTCAGCCAGACAACCATGAGAATGTTCTGTTCATTGGACATATCTACTGCAGCTAATAACTTTAGGACTCTGAACTGTGATAGCCTGGTACCCATTTTCTTTTTCAAGGTATAAGGGAGAGAATGTACAGCTGTACAGAAAAATCAGTAATTCAACCCTTTTGTTTTCCTTTTTTTTTTTTAAACAGAATCAAGATCTTGTATGCTGGAGATCATCCTCAAAAGCTTTTCCCCTCTGCACAACTTAAACCAAAATGTGGCATTAGCACTGCAGTGCTCTCAAAGGTAAGGTTAGGCATTGCAAGTGAGGCATAGAATCAATAGCTCCTACCAAAGTGTGGTTGTTCATCCCTCCCATTCCTTAACTATGCATTCCCTTTTTATGCTTATCTGATTCAGTCATGTAGGGACCCAGTTTCATGACTCAGACTGAAAAGAAATTAAAATTTAAATTAAGAAAATAAAATCTGGTTCTTTCAGTACTTGGATGAGTCTCATCATCAACTCAGATTAATGCCGGTGGCAGGAGCAGGACAGAGGCATTTCAGCCAGAGCCACTTGTTAGGTGAGCTTTGTTGTTCCACACTAACAGTGCAATGAGAGTATGCAGACTTTGTATACCTCCTCCCAGCTCCAAGGGCTTTGGAGATATTAAACTTCTCAACTATACGACAGACTTCTAGCGCAGGTGTACCAGTGAGGCACCTGGACCTTGATCACCTCCCGTTGGATTCAGTAAGGCATAAAACTTCCCTTCCATAAGCAGGGCTACTTCTATTTACAAGGAAAGGTTTTACTAGTAGAAGGGGCAACTTACAGTGACATGACTGTGCCCATAGCAGAATTTTTTTTGCCAGCATGTCTATACTAATAAAGTACCCCAAAAGTAGACAAAAGTATTTCAGCTGTACTGATCTATCTCACTAAACATCTGGCAAACATTTAGAGGGATTGTTTCTCTATTCTGGAGCATTGGATAAGACCCAATGTATCACATTGCAAGGATTTTTTTTTAATGGCATGGGTCTATCTGCTGAAACTTTTTTAAAATTAAATATCCCTATCCTTTATTTTACAAAAAATAGCCAAGTACACTTTTAATTCTATGAAGACTTGGGTGTTTGAACTTTCTGTCATTCACAAAACTGATCCAGAGGACTCACACACTTGGCAAACCGGATCTGAGAGTTCTTATGTCTTTATCTGGAAAAGTGGAACTTGTCCATATTACTATCAATATGCATTTAGAAAAATAAAGTAACTATAAAGTGTCAAAACAGGCATTTGTTTTAATTATGGACAAAAAGCTAGCAGCAACAGCTATATCCATCAGAAGCTATGATAGAACACAGTTTGTCTCTGTAATTTATTTCTTGCATATATGCACTATGATAATGACCAGATGTTAGCTTTTCCAAAGGAATCTCTTTGAACAAAACAATCATGATTCCTTAACAATCCACCATTTATTGCTCCTTCTTTGCTGCTGTGGCTCCACACCACATTTACAATTTTGTACTCAAATTTTGCTCTTATTAAACAACAAAACAGCCCTGATTCCTTTATGACACTTCCTATACAAAAGAAGGTGAACAATCACACAATCACAAATTGTATCATAAAAATATATGTGCAAACAATCAGAAACCTCGCCATTTCCTCCTTCTGCTCAAGCAGCGGAGGGCTCCCACTGTCTCCTAAACCATCCTCTCTTGGTTCCCAGTACTCCCACCTGCTTCCTCCAGGTACAATTTCCCTTGCCACTCACTCCCAGGCTTACTCTTTTAAATAGCCTCTTAGCAAATTTCTGTGCTCTTAACCTAACGCTCCCATTTTTTATCTGCCCAGAGAGTCATAGTTCTTCCCCTAGCCACATCTATTTATCAAATTCTCTTTAGCTCCATACCACTGACTTCTCAACACCTTCTTGACCTGATTCACAGCCACTCTCCATGCCCTTCTCATGGATCCCTGTCCCTTGAACATGTATCCATGCTTTTCACCAGACTCTTTACACTGACCCTTTGCATTCACAAATCCTCAGTTCCATTGGATGTTATGCCATAATTGAATCTCACTCTCTTGAAAGCTGCTTTCGTGTTCTGAATAACAGGGTATAAGAATATCTCCTCTTGAAAGCTGCTTTCGTGTTCTGAATAACAGGGTATAAGAATATCTCCTCAACATTAAAACTGGATAACCTCTTTTCCATGCTACTTGTACTCTGGGTGAGGGGTCACCGGGGAACACAGAAAAAAATAACAACAAAACCAGAAAAACTTTCCAGATGTAGACCTAACACAATGTCTAGGCCAAAGTGTGTGCAGTGCAGAAGGTATCTTTGAAGAATACAGCTGTCAAAAATCTAACTTTAATGGGTACATTCAAATTCTTTTCAAGATATATAACATAGGCACATGTAGAATGGCATTAGGAGTGGAAAAAAGGCATATAACTACAAATCAAAGCTACCCTTCCCGTAGAATCTCAGGAAAAAAGTATTGCGGTATTTTAACATGGGAAAACAATAGTGTCTTCCCTATTCTCATCTTAAAAAAATGCTGGAAAGCTTTTTCTTAAATTTTCCAGAACCCAAGTTTTTTGGAACAAAAAGGTAACCTATATTATAACAAGGTCAAAAAAAGCCTCAACAGAAGACAAAGTTTAAGGGTATGTGCAGGCAGTTGTAACTGAAAGGGTTAAAAGGGTTTCAGCTATTATCATCCCTTTGACTAGAGATGAAATGTGGCAACTAATTCTCTGATGGTTCTTAGACTAATGTAGTAAAACTCACATATGTAAACTTAATTTAAACTACTTTTATTGGTGGTTTAAGCAAGCATGGTTTCTCCAGAACAAATAGATGCTCAGTTCAGTATCTCCAAGCTGAAAGACATCACTCCAAGCTGGGAAAGATACCTACATTCTGAAATGTGTTAATACAATCCTCTGTCACAACCTTGTAATGGAAAGTGTCATGAAACCTGTGTAATGTTTGATATAAACAACCCAATCTATAGTTAATGCTATTTCCATGGTGCCTGATAAACAATTAATACACAGTGTGGACACAGGAAAAAGATTTGAACTTTTCTGCAGAAACAAGAATACAGAAGAACTATTACCCCTTCTTTTTAGACCTCTGGACTTCTAAAAAGCTCTAATGCCCTGATTTGATTTAATTAGGAAGGAGAGATAGAGTTAGCCTTGAACTATGGCAAAAAATCAAAGTTCAAAAACATGGGAGAATTAAGTCTACTAATAACAAACAAAACATAGAGGCTTCTTATAGGAAAAACAGAGGTTGAAATTATCATTAATCATTATTAATCTGTTAAACACAGAAACATACAGGACTCCAGTCCAGGAACACATGCCAACTTAAATAGAAGACTTTCTTGTCACAGGACCCTCATTTTGCTCAGAAATTCCATCCAACCTAGAAGCATGGGAGAGAATCCATGTTATTTTGAAACTTCATAGTTCAGTAGTCTTAGATGGTAACTTCTTAGGCCACAATCGACTGTTTTGAGTAATACAGTTTTGGAAATTGGCCTCTAACACTGAGAAATTGCCACTTAAATTCAGGAGAGCTATGAGATATTAAACCCATTAGCATCAGTAGAACATGACACTTGATCCACAGAGAGGCATTTTTATCTGACAGTTCATCCCTGTACAAAAAAAAAGACAAACGACTAACAAGTGCTTTAAATGAGAAAACAAGCAAAGACTGAAAGTATGCTGTTTTATAAAGTGACAGTAACTATTCTAAGAACATTTCTTTCTGCATGTTGCTATCAGTTTTTCCTTACCATATATTCCATATTGGAAGCTGGTGGATACACCTGACCCCGTAATTTATTATGAAGATCCAAGATACTTTGCATATCACTGTCTGTGATAGCCCTTTTCCCTCTCTGCTTGGCGATCCACCACTCACCATCTTCATCCATGTACTTTTCCAAAAGTTCCTCTAAGAGCGTGGCATTGGGAAGAACCATTGCAGAAACTGCTTGAGCTATGAATAGCAAGGTAGTTACTCTGAGCCATTCCTGTACTACATACTTCATGATGAATGATCTCAAAATGCTCTGGAGTTAGCTTCAAGACAGTCTTTCTTCCAGGTCTGTTGGCTGTAAATGCATAAGAGAGAGTAATGTAATTTGGAGGTTGAAGTACTGGCCTGTATGGAGTTACTAAGTAGCAAAAACTGTAGTCTGTATAGTTTGCCACTGTTGTTTTAGGGGGAGAAACCAGAATGCTGATGTTTTTTTTTTACTCTAATAGGTATATACTGTTGATTTGCGAAGAGAGCTTATCTTCAGCCTTACAACCTTCAGTTTGTTCAAGTGGTTTTGTACAGTACCCTGGCATGTGCATTTCACCGCCTGCATGCAAGAAAGCATACTTTTCATATCTACTTAAAAGAAGCCAGACATCAGTGAAGATTAGACTGGAGATAAGGTCTTCCAGTAGTGCAATTTAAGAACAAGAAAAGTTAAAAGACTTGCATTCCCTGCCAAAATGTGAACTGAAAACCAATAAAGCAGGTATGAAATAGCCTCTCCTGGTGCATTTCAAAATGTGACTTTGATTAACGTTTTTGGTTTTTGATTTCGAAAAACCAAATAAAACTAAAAGTAGCCAACTCGGACAAGCAAATGGGGGGAGACGGGGTGATTCTCCTCACCAAACAAAGGAAAGGACTGATAACTCTCAGAGCAAGTAGCACCACTTCCAAGAACACAGTATTCCAACACCGCCCGTTACGTGACTGCTTTAGGTAGGAAAGCCACGGTCACTGCCTCACCCCGGGTGAAAAAGCGTGAACCCGCCATACCCCTGTCTCTTATACA